GGTGACAAACTCACGGGTAGCCACGTGGCTCATGGCACTTCAAAGTTTTGACCTACACATCCGCCACGGACAAAACAAGAAGTCACATTTGGGCACTGACCTGGCACTCTGCCAGGAATGTACACAAGATGTACCAGCCACCCAACCACCAGCTGCAGAAAAACCCTCAGTAAGTGATGACCCGAATCACCACTACTTTGATAACAATATCTGCAAAGATATGGCAACACTGTACGTGGATGGATGCTCATTCCACCACGAACAAACCTGCAAATCAGGTGTCGGAGGGATTCTCCTCCAAGACCAACAAGAGGTCACTTTTAGCTATAAATTAGGCTCTCAGACTTCTCAGTACGCTGAGATAGCAGGAATCCTAATAGCTCTCCAGATGGCAGTAGAACGCTCCATCCAAACGCTAGTCATCTGCACGGACTCCAATTACGCTCGACTTAGTTTCTTGTGTCATCTCGCTCTGTGGAAACAGAACGGCTTTCTCACAAGCAACAAGAAAGTGGTCAAACACAAAGAGCTTTTCATGGCATGTGATCACTTGATGACATCACATGACCTACAGGTCTACTGGAAAAAGGTTCCAGGACATTCTAGAGTCCTAGGCGATGACAAGCAGTATAACGACCTTGCAGACTTCCTAGCCAAGGACGAAGCCGTGGACGGCCCTCCATGGTCCATTGACCCCTCTTGGCTGCTCGCAACTCTGTCAGTACAATCTACAGCCGAGGTAATGACAGTCACACGTGCACAGGCTGCAGCCAAACCGGCTGACAACACAGTCTCTGTACAACCCATGCTGACTGACCCAGACATCATCCAACTTCAGAAGTTGGATCCTGCGATAAACTCGATGATGCTGTACTTGACTGACCCAGACAAAAACACTCCGTCCGAAGCCGACCTAGATTCCAATCCAGACCTTAAAGTCCTCTTTCAGCTGCGCAAACAGCTAAAACTAATCAAGGGCATCCTAACTTTTGCTCATGGACCGACGTCCTCACCCGTGTTCATGGTCCCCCATGACCACAGGGGGGTGATGTTAGTTCATGCGCATGACCTCCCGTCCGCAGGACACAAGGGAGATAACGCCAACTTGAAAGCATTAAAACAAATTGCTTATTGGCCTGGAATGAAAAAGATGTCAAGAACTACATAAAAGGGTGCCTGGTCTGTGGCCAGTTTCAGCCATCCAGACCACTCCACAGAGCACCACTGCAAAATAGAGGCATTGCATTACCATGGTCTGACCTCCAGATTGACTGGGTTGGACCACTTACTAAGAGCACTAGAGGAAACAAATATTTTCTCACGGTAACTTGCGCATTCACCAAATGGGTAGAATGTCTACCAGCTCCTAACGATACAGCACAAACAACTGCTATGTTACTAATGAATCGTGTATTTTCAAGGTTTGGACTTCCTCTCAGGGTGAACTCAGACCAAGGTACACACTTCACAGCTGAAGTGATGAAAGAACTGTGGAAGATGCTAGGCATCAAAGTCAACTTCCATGTTGGCTACCACCCACAGGCCTCAGGCCAAGTGGAGAGAGCAAACAGAACTGTTCTAAGTATTTTGAAGAAATACTTAGCCGCAAACCGTAAGGACTGGGACGTGAAACTCCCTCTAGTCCTCATGGCCATAAGGGCCACTCTACACAAATCGACTGGCATCTCTCCCTTCGAGATGATGACTGGTCGACAAATGACTCTCCCTCTACACCTGTTGTACCAACCAGGCGATGCCGCCATGGCAACAGCCTACACCACACAACAATACATGAATGACTTGGAGGAACACCTTAAAAACACCTTTGCGTTTGCCCAGAGAAACCTGAAAAAATCCGCTGAAGGACGAAAGGCGTACTATGACCAAAAGGCCTCTCACGAGGAACTCCAAGTGGGAGATAGGGTCTGGTACTACACGTTCGCCCCCACAACCGGGAAAGGAGAGTCCGGGACCGGAACTCTCGCCCGCAAACTGATGCCCAGGTGGACTGGACCCCACCTGATAACAGACAAACTGTCTCCAGTTGTCTACCAGATCAAAATCAGCAAAGGCCAAAAAGAGCCAATTGTTAAATGGGTACATCGAAACCAGGTCAAACTACACAAGGTGTTCAATAACTCCACAGGAGACAAAGACCCCACAAACTCAGACCTCGTGTGAAAAAGGTCGTCCAAGCAGAAACTAAATAAGTCCAAGCTTGATTAGGTGTTAAGATAACAACTCAGACGCGATAACGTGATCGAATCTGACAATCAGAGTGAGTGACGCACTGAAACGTTGTTTTCTAGTTGCTTAATCACTACTTTTATCGTTGTTGAAATGTTGTTTTTCTGATTGCTTAATCACTATTTTTGTCGATGTTGAGACATCGTTTATTTGGTTTTGGTATTGTTTCTGAACACCCCCAGCAAGAATGAATTTTGTGTGTACTTTAGTTAGAGACTATGAGGACTTTAACTATGCCAACATGCAGTTCATTTGTTAAACTTCAACCTTTTAGGAGTAAGTAAGTAAGTAAGTAAAGTTTATTTATAAAGTGCTTATCACAGACATAAAGTCACAAAGTGCTGTACATAAAATCAGACATAAAATCACAAAGTGTTGTACAAAAAAAAAATCAATGCTAAAATATACAAAGAATAAAACAAGCCTAAGAACTACAAGAAGCACAGTAAAATCATGACATAAAAGCCTGGGAGAATAAAAGTGTTTTCAGTTGCTTTTTAAAAACCTCAACAGAGTCAGCAGAATGAAGTTGCAGTGGCAAACTGTTCCACATTCTTGGAGCCACTGACTGAAAGGCCCTGTCCCCTTTAGTTTTCAGCCGCATACTTGGAACATCCAAGAGGTTCTGTGACTGGGAGCGAAGACCACGAGCAGCAGAGTATTTGGTCAAAAGCTGACAAAGATACACAGGAGCCTGGCCATTTAAAGCTCTGTACGTCAGCACAAGAACTTTAAAACGGATTCTAAACTTGACTGGGAGCCAGTGTAGTGAATATAGGACCGGGGTGATGTGACAATATTTGCTGGATTTGGTGAGAAGTCTGGCAGCTGCATTCTGAATTACTTGTAGACGTGAAACAGAAGACTTGTCCAGGCAGGTAAAAAGGGCATTACAGTAGTCCAGACGTGATGACACAAAAGCATGAATAATTTTCTCTAGATCGGTTCTGGAGACCATAGGTCGTATTTTAGAAATGTTTCTTAAATGAAAGAAACAAGAACGGGAAATAGCTTTAACGTGAGACTCAAAGCCTAATGATGAGTGAAATGTGACTCCTAAATTTTTTACTTTTGATTTGGCTACTGGGCAGAAAGAGGCAATTTTCTGATTGATTTTTGGGTGAAGATGACTCGGAGCAGTAATCAAAGTCTCTGTCTTACTGGTGTTTAAAACCAGGAAGTTACTGGCAAGCCAGTCACTGACATGGGACAAACATTGGACAAGGATGGCCAATTTATCCAGCTGATGTGGTTTAAATGAAAAATACAACTGAATGTCATCAGCATAAATATGATAAGAAATATCAGAAAAGGATTGAATAATGCTGGCAAGTGGGAT